AGATTCAAACAAAAACAGAAACATTTCTTTTGAAAGTAAATTTGATGCAGTTTAATTAATTTCAATGTCAAATTTATTTATATACAGTGGCACAATAAAAACAACAAAAGCATGGCCAAAGTTCTTTACAGTTCAGTCAAAGACTCGTATCACTAAATCAAAAATAAAATACATAAACACAAAATAAAACCAAAATGTGTGGTTATTTTTAATTTGGTTTTTGGTGGTACAGCTGAATTTTTGTGTTTAGGACGTGTGTTTCAATGATTCTGCATGGCTAAATGCAGATTATTATGCCAAGTAAAACTGATGTTATTGTGCTGAATGAACCCTGTTAGTGAGAGCCCTTCATATCTCATTATGGAGATGTCTTTTCTGTCAATCAGCTGCTGCCTCCCCCTCTGTTGTAAAATGAGAAGACACTCTGCTCTGACAGCCATTCAGTTGTCACCAGGACCTATCATAACAAATCCACCAGTCCCTTCAAAGGCCTCTGATTCACAATTCATCAAGAGGGTTTATTGTTTGTTGAGTCTGCTGAGAGCATTTAGAGGAAATATTTACTTCACAAGACCTGCCTTTGCTTCTAATTTTGTGTTTTGCCTTGTGCCTGCCTGTCCTCTTTTCTGCATGAGATAAGTCTAAAAAGGTGCTAGTGATATTCACTCACCATTTTAGTGTCACGGGTCTTAAATTTTTAGTTCATGTGAGGCTCATGGGTACCCACCTTTGCCTTCGGAGCTGTAGCAGAAATGTAATTAGTGTCTCCATACTCTGTGCTCACTCATCACTACCATGCTGTGAGTTGGGCAGTTTGTTAAATCACTTTGGGTTGCTCGCAGTGAACCGGAGCTAAACCTATGTGGCTCACCCGGGGGTCCCACAGGTACATCAGACCCTTGGCTCCTTTCTCCACGGTGGTCCTTCTTTGTCTTTTCTCATCTGCCCATTTCACCCTCCCATTTTTCCATCTAATGTTTGTGTGAGAAACGGGATATGTACTGAAACAGCACTGGAAAAGCAATAATTTTCTTGTGTTTTGGTAGAATCTTTTGTTGCTACAATAGGGTTAAATAGTCGTTTGTAAAAGTTGAATATTATTACCTTCATTGATTGGTTGAGCTTTTAGAATGCAAGAAAATCGGTATGCATATTAATGGCAGATGAAATGTTTTTTGATCAAGAAAAACAATGGAATCAGTAGATGTTTTTGTTAGAAGAGTTCTGGTCATTTGCAGGTAGTTTTTCAAATTAAAGCTAGGGCGTTAATATACTGACTGGAGACAAGCTTCGCTGTGAGTTTCAACAATAAATAAAATGAACATCATCAGTTCTGTCAGACCCACTACAGCAGTGAACATTCTGTCCATTGTTGTGCTTTAATTGTGTGGAACAGAGTGATGAGTAGACTGTTAGCTCCTGCTGGTGGATCAGCTCTGCATGCTTCATTACCTTTGTGTGACTGTGTGAATTTGTGTGCATGTGTGGTACCGTGTTGGTTTAGGTCCATTCACATACGTTCAGRCCCTGCAATGGAGAGTGAAACTGTTTGTGTCACTGGATGAAGTAAGGTAACCACTTACACACATTTGCTTATTTTTCTCTCTAACTGAAATCAGATATGAACTTAATAGAAGAACCGAAATTTGATGTTTGTTCTGAAATCCCACCAATCCTTTTTGATGGGTTTAATACTTTTGTGCTCAGCGTGAAGGGTACTTGGACTGATTATTAGTCGGTAATCAAAGCTTTTCAAATGAGCTAGTCATAACTTTGGTTTATATCTTTGTGGCACTAATTGATTCAAGAAAAGAAGGAGGCATGATAGATTCATTTTAATAAACTTCATCATCCATTAAAAGTGGTCCTGATGATGGTTTGAATAACAGTGACTTTATCCAGAGTGAGTCTGTGCGAGATTGAGTTTGTGTCATCTTATCACACTTTAGTCTCTGAAATAGAGCCGATAATGCAAAGTCCACTTTAAAAGCAGTTTTTTTTGTGTGTGTGTGCAGCTTGTGTTCGGGTCCTCTTTCTCCTCTCGTGTTTCTCGAAGCTCGTCCTCTACGTCTGGCACACAGCTGGTGATGTTGACGCAGGAAGAGCAAAGGAGAGAAAACAGGGTAGAGTTGGAAGCAGGATTTTAAATGAGGAATGTCTTGTTTCATAAAAAACAGCAGCAAGAAAAGACTCATTTTTGTGTTACGTTAGCATTAGCCCTAGAGACACTGTTGTCTGAAAAGACAATATTTTTGTTGCTGCAGAAAAAAAAATACAAAAAGCATTGCTGCAGCTTATGTTGAACTAATGAAGCCTCCTGTGTAGACACTTGCAGGATAAATAATTGTGCTTTATGTCAGTTGGGTTCTTTTGTGTGATTACTGTGAACACACAACACTACGGATTCTTGTTGAAACCAGACACAACATCCTCACTAGATTACTGACCCTCTGAACTTAGGAGGAAACATGTGGGGAGGAGAGAGATTAGTAAAAACAGTGTAAAAAAACAGTGTGGGAGAGACAGGGAGTGTTTGGATCTGTTCTCCGGTACACAGCAGACACACACCATTTGGTCAGAACAGAAGTCTGTGCTGAGGACTGAGGAGGGTGACGTTTTCCGTTCTGTTATCTGATTATTCACTTGGATGTGCGAGAGAGTGCAGGCAGGAGAGGCAGCCTGTAAGCAGGCGTCAGAACTACTGTGCTCAAATGTAAGTGTGCGAGCCACATAGTTGCTTTCGAATCAGACCAACTTGTGATGCTCACAGTGGCCGGTTGTCATAGTGACGGAGGGTAGCAAGAGGAGCCTGCTCATTGCGCCACCTGATTGTGAGTGCGAGAGAGAGAGAGAGTCAGACAGAGGGTAGAATGCAGCGACACGGAGTTGCGCAGCAGTGATGGAGAGACGGGCTTTTTGCTGCCATCAGTGTTTTCATCAGTAGACTTGTGCTGCTGTGTCGAGGGTTACTGGAGATATTTTGCCACTTTCTCTCTTTGTCTCAACAACTTGGATTATCGCCTGTGTTCTGTGCTTGAATGGGAAGATGCTGATGCCCTATGATGTATGTGTCAAGTGTGTGTGAGATGTGAATTCACGTGTTGATTTCCATGCTCGCCTGGAGACCCACAGACACACAGTTTGACTCAATGCCTGCTGCCTCTGACAGGCTGAGGGACACACAGCAGGCCTGACCAGGGGCCCTACATGCCATGGTAAATAACGCTGGTTATAAACTTAATTTGGAGTTAGCATCCTGGCGCTAACCTGTGCAATCTTTTTAAGGATACAACATTGTACCAGCTTTGTTGTCAGATATTTTTAACATCCTTTCTGTAAGTATAAATGAATTGAAGCAGTTATTTGTAACTTTCAGCAGCATGGTATGTGTGCTAGTGACTTAGCCTTTCTATTTTGTCTGGATCAAGAATGAAACTGTGCATGATTGTATCCCTGTGGTCTTTTCCTGTTCTCTTTGGGATGCAGTGTTTTACCTAATTGCAGACATTGCTGTCCTATTTGAGCTGAGTGTGTGAGCTTTTGTCTTCTGCAGTCTGCCTAAAGTGTTAGAGAAGTACGTGTGTTTGTGTGTGTGTGTGAATTCTGGTGTCCATCTTTTCCTCCTGCAGGCTATGTTGTCCCACTTTGATACTATGTGTAAGCAAAAAGAATAGTGATGTGTCCTTTTCTGACTTACATTTGTGTGCGTAAGTTTATGTTGTGTGAAACACTCAAATTCAAACAGAACAAACAGAAATGTAGGAAAAGTAAGTGATGCGACAGTGACCAAAAAAGGAGTAATTGATACTACTTTAGAGTGCAAGCCAATGAATTTCTCAAGAACTTCCTAACCGGGTAATGATTCGTACTGCTGCAGTACAAGTATATCTTTTTAAATTTTCATCACAACTTTATCAAACAAATCTTCTCGGTCCGTGGACTTTTTTGGTCATTTGTTTTTTTGTTATAAAAACAGATTTTGCAAAACAAAACTATTTATTTATTTATTTATTTATTTATTTATTTATTTATTTATTTGTTTGTTTGTTTGTTTGTTTGTTTGTTTGTTTGTTTCATTTTAAAAGCAACATTAAAAACAGGTGGTAATTCTATTTGAACTTTATTTACAAAAAAAGGGAAAAAGTCTTTCTTTTTTATATTTGTTTAACTGAAAGTTTAACAAGTTTGACTGTCAACTCTAATACGTATACAGAATAAACCAGCGTCTGTTTCTACTTTAGGAAAAAGATTCTCAGTTAATGGATACTGATGCGAGTGATTTTTAAATGATGGGAATGTAATGCTCACAATGATAGCACATAGTCCAAAGTTTATTTTTCTATTTTGATTTGTATTTCTTTATCTCTTTTTGTAATTGTGTCATTTGTTCTTTAAAATTGAACCACTCTTATTCACATTTTTATATTTTTAATAATCATTTGCTAAATACAAAAATGTTCTTGAAAATGTGAATATGTATAAACAGATACAGTAAGCACCTATCTGTATTTATATCTATAGATACACAAAAGCTGTAACATGGCTATCTTTGCACAGGTTGTTCTCACACTGCTTTTGTGTTGAAGTAAGCCCACATATTGTCAAGACTTCAGTGCTTTTATTGTGTACTTATGCTAATGTGTTAATCAAGCTTGCAGTCAATAATTAATCACATGCAGAGAGTGCAGTATTTGAAACAGTCAAACACAAGCTTGTTTTATCCCTGTTGATGTCTTTATTTCTTGTTTTCATCCTTTTGAGAAGAAGACAATAATTGGCTGCTTTTTCTTCTACTTGAATGCCCCTTGTTACAAATTTCAAGTTTGTATTATTACAACCGACCTGCTTAACTATGCTTATAATGGAAGTTAAAAAGGATGTTTTTACAAATTTGCTCTGCTCATTTCCACTTATGATGAAAAAATTGACATTTTTTTGTCTTCCTCAAAGTAACGTTGCTTTCCATCTCAAACATCTTGCCTCTGTCTTTGTTTTTACAGGAAGAATGCAAGCAGATTATGGCACGCCAGAAATCTAACAGCCAGTCAGACTCACACGATGATGAAGTTTCTCCTCCTCCACCAAATCCTGTTGTCAAGGCCCGCCGCCGCAGGGGAGGAGTCAGCGCAGAAGTGTACACGGAGGAGGATGCTGTCAGCTACGTACGAAAGGTCTGTTTTCCAGCAGCTGAAATTATTCAAACATCGTCCCGTATTTTCAGCAACATCAAACGATATTGAAGCTGGCTATTGTTCATTAAAATGTTGGTCTTTACACCCACCAAAAAGCATGAATGAAAATATTCTAATCAAAGATTTAATTTTGCTTTCCATCTTGAAGGTTTATCATAATGTTAACTGCTATGGCAATATTTATTTAACAAAGACAGAAATACGTGGTCCAAGAATGAAGGTACTCCGTGAGATGATCAGCTGAGTTTTATTGCAACAACAGGAAACACAGAGAACAACCTGCCATGTCTCTGTGCCTCTGCTTCTCTCTGTCACTGTCTCTCCACACTACTGTTGAACACTGTTGAACACTAAAAGAAAAAAATTGTATAGGTCCTCTGGACAGGTTCTTCTCTAATGAAACGTTTC